TAGGATGAAGGAGAGAAGTTCAAACAAGGAGGATCGGTTGCGAGTCTGTGTAAGAAGCAGCCTGACTCTGAGCAGCTGGGTCACTGGACGTTCATTCTGTAAAGAGGATAAAACAGCGGGTATCTGGACTAGGAGACACCAGGCAAAATCGAAGGGAGTGATGTTTCACTCAAATCAAGGTTTCAGTCACAGTATGCATCCTGAAAAAAACAACCAAACAAACAAAATGAAGTATGCATCCTGGAGCCTGACAGGCCCAGCACTTTCGCCCACTCAGCTTCTGCAGTGCTGGCAGCCAGGCCTTGACCCTTCAGACAAGAAATCAGAAAAGTCCTGTCTGTGTAATCTGACCAGCCCAGACCAGCTCAGAAGAAGGAACTGTGTGTTCTGATACCTGAGCTTCTCATACTAGCTCCCCAGTCAGATCACCCTGCAGTCAAGCTTCCAGACCACCAGTCCTCCTCCCAGCCCCGTGTTGGCGACCAGCCTTTGAGTTACCCACACTGAAATGTGATCATATCACCACTGGTTAAAGAGAACTAAGGAAGAGCTCTAGGCTTCCCGGGTGACACTAGAATGGAAATTGGTTACAGTTTACAAAACATTTTAAACTGCTAACTATGAATGTCAAAGTGTTAGACAGTCGTGTCCAGCTCTTTGCAACCCCATGGACTGTAGCCCACCAGGCTCCTCTGTCCATGAGATTCTTCAGGGAAGAATACTGGAGTGGGTGGCCATTCCCTTCTCCAGGGGATCTTCCCGACCCCGGGGTCAAACCTGGGTCTCCTGCACTGCAGGTGGATTCTTCACTGTGTGAGTCACAGGGAAGCCCATCCTAAATATGGATCAAAGCAAAACTACATGCACTGCAGCTGGCTGGGAAGGAGGAATGGGAGGGACGCAAGGGCCTAATGGGGGAGAGACAGCAATCAGAGCGAGACCCTTGTCTTATATGGTGGAGAACTTGCAGATAGCACCAAAAGGAAGAAAACGTTTGTTTAAAAAAGGAGTAATGCAAGCATGTTTTTGGCAACACAGTCATAAATACCAAAATAACAACTTCAGCAGCTAAGAGAAGTAAAGAAGTTCCCCTGGTGAGGAGAACATCAGGCACTGCTGTTTTGTTGTTTTGTTTTTTTAATGAGCCTTGGAGAATGTTTTTAAACTACATACCTTTGTGACTTTGATAAAAATAAAGAAATTTATATCACTGTCATTACGTAGTCAGCACCAGAGTCCTCAAACAGTTAAAAACATCAGCTTCGGGGACTTGCACTGGTGTCCCAGTGGCTAAGGTTCCCAATGCAGGGACCCTGGTTCCGTCCCTGCTCAGGGTGCTAGCTCCCCCGTGCAGCAGCTGAGAGTTCACATGCCGCAACTAAAGATCCTGCGTGCTGCAGCGAAGACTGAAGATCACATGTGTGGCGCCTGCCTCAGTCACACAGCCGTGTCTGACTCTGTGCAACCCGGCGGACTGCAGCCCACCAGGATCTTCTGTCCATGGAATTCCTCAGGCAAGAATGCTGGAGTGGGTTTGCCGTTTTCCTCCTCCAGGGGATCGTCCCAGGGATTGAACCAATGGCTCCTGTGTCTCCTGCATTGCAGGCAGATTCTTTACTTGCTGAGCCTTCAGGGAAGCCCTTNTGTATTACTACTTAAAATTGTCTCATATATGCTGTGCCCTATCACAATGCTGGAGACACTGTGGGGAAGCAATAGTTTTGAGTCTCATTCCACAGAGTCCTTGGGCTGACATCAGGACTAGGATGAGCCAGGAAGACAGGGGCTGCTCCACCACCCCCATTTGAGCTCTCCTTTCATTATGTGATATAGTAGGTTTAAGCATAACATTTCATTTAAAGAAAGGACTCCAAGTTCCTTCCAGATCTCACAGCTTATGATTAGTAAAAAAAAAAGTCACTACAATTTGCAATGTGTTTAGGTTGGAAGGATTAATTTCTTTGCCAGGGCCATAACAGGAAGACTGACTCTGTCATTTCAATTACAAGCCACCGTTTAGTTGGAGCCTGTAAGACACACTGCTGGAGGTTCCCTCCTCTTGCCTGCAGCAGAGCAATTAACGGCGGGTGATTTGTGGCTGCGTTTTCACTGCTTAGCGCAGGTTTATCATCTTGAAAGTTTTCCATTTGCATATATGCTATACGTTCTTTGGGTGACATTTCGATATCATTCAGAGTTTAGATTGTGCATTGCCTTGTACTGCACTTTCTGCTGCGTGATGGGAATCTGTAAGCCGAGCCAGAATGCTACTGCGGACCTAGGAGAAGAGGAGTTGCAGCCGCCACTCACTGAAGGTTTACTGCGGGATGACCCTCAGTACTTTTCCTGCGGGACTTTATATTTCAAAACAGTACGTTGAGGTTTTTATTGTTTGTCACATTTTGTAACTAAAAAAACCTGAAATGCAAAGAGGAAAAGTAATTCACCCCAGGTCTCCTGGCTCAAATAAGCAGAACTGAGATTCAGACCCAAATCTGTCTGATCCCAAGACACTCTGCTACACAACTTCCCCTATTGGGAGCTTTCAGAGTGAAATGAATTGAATTTGACAGTTTTCCACTTTTAAATACCAGACTTCCTGAGCAGTCTAATTGATGCTCTCTGGATTAAGAAAAATGGCTATTTAAAAGGAGGAGGGGGCAGGAGGGCAAGAGAAAAGGGTTTTATTATCTGTATTGGTAAAGGAAGAGATGTAATCCTAGAAAAAAATAACATCTAATGGAAACTATTGTATAAATTTGCAATGGGCTTAAGTTGATGAAATGGCAAAGGAATACAGAGAAGATAAGGGAGTAATGAAAAGAAAAGCACTGAAGATTTCTTTAAAGGGAAAGAAAAGATTAGAGGTGACCAAGGGCAGTTGGAAACTGGCTCAACTGAAGGCAGAGTCTGTCCATTTTGATGTGTGGAACAGGCTAATGAGGTTTCCAAAGTAACAACCCGAGATCTGTGTCCATGTTCCAGCCAGTCTGGGTGAGACTGGGAAGGTTCTGCAGCCAAACTTCTGGGTTTGAATCCTTTTTCCTTGACTTTCTAGCTCGGTATCTCTGGACAAATTACTTGACCTCTCTGGCTTCAGTTTCCTTACCTGAACAATGGAAATCATAATATCATCCATCTCGTTGTGAGAGGAACTAATGTGTTTAGCACTGTGCCAGGATTTAGTAAGCCATGAGCATCATCTCACATGGTGCAAGAAATAGGAGGTTGTAAACCAGTAAAAAGGCTTGAAGAAACAAAGGGGAAGGAAATCAGGAGAAACGTTCACCTGTAGCCAAGAAGTAAAGGGAGATGTTCTCTTGCCCACTCCTGAGCATCAGGAGGAAAATGTCAGATGTGGGGAAAGGCAGGATAATGGGGGAGCTCAAGCCTAGCCAGAGACTGAGGTCTGGCTGAACTTAATGGAGTCTGAGAGTTGTTTCTGTAAAACACATGCTCTGATGGCAGCCCTGGTGGCAGGGGCTCCTGAAGTTAGCTCCACGGGGCTGGGGAATCGGGGATTAGCCGGCGTGTAGAAGTGAGTGTAGGGCAGAGAGAGAAAGCAAGCTCTGGGTTATTCATCTTTGAGTGCCAAGAGTCACTGAAGGCACACGGGGAGGGAAGGGCATTTTTTAATAAGCACTTCTTGTCTTCTCATTCTCTCTTTCACAACCATGAACCTTTTTCCCATTCATTTGTTACATTAAGAGATAAACCACAGTTACGCTGGATGCAGCAACGATATATAAGGTGCTTTATGAATGAGTGAGTGGTCATCTGCTTTTTCAGCCACCATTTCTTTATCACTGTCTCTATGTCAGGCTACTGTTAGGGCCTGGAGTCACAGGATGTTCCCAAATCCAAGCCTTCATTTCTAGCACTTCACTGTGTGTGTCATGGTTCTCAGCCATCAGACTAACCCACAGGCAATTCAGAAATCCCTGGTGTCCAGGATTTATCTCAGACCTACAGTTTTTCCTTCAGTGGAATTAGGCGAGTGAATATTTCCAGAATTGGCATTTTTCACTTTTATGTTCACATCAACCTTGAAAGACTGGTTAGAAAACGTTTCACGGTTTATAAACAAGGAACCTGAAGCTCAGAAAGGTTAAGATGATAAGTGAGGTCACACAGCAGGTGAGGGCAAAGTTGGAACTCAGGTCCAGAGCTACTGACTTTACAATCCCACAGCCTTTCCACTTGGCCACGACTGCTCTCCCAAGTGTACATGAGTGAAACTCTGTGCCTTAAGTCTGTGCTGATAAAGGGATCTGAGGACATAGGCAAACATACATAAAACACTTCCCTACCGTAACATGTGCTCAAAAACCATCAGCAAGTCCTACCCAAGGTTCAGGGACTTGTATTTAAAGTGGCAGAACCCTATGAATGTTACAACCTGGCTGATTGTCGACTTCTTTCCTCCAAAGTGGATAAAGCACTTTAAACTGCACAAGCTCTCCCACAGTTATTGTTTTCATTTCCTACCCCAGCCCCAGCTACAGAAACACTGCCTTCTTTTATTTGTCTCTCCAGGTAACAGTGGCTGCCTCCTATTGCTAACCCCTCAGTTACCTTCTTTGGTGTCTCAGCTTTTTCATCACCTGTCTAACCAGTTTCCTGCATTAGATTCCCTCTTATCCCAGGTTAGATCCTGTTACACGGGTGAAGAAACCAAGGTTCAGAGAAGTTAGGTAACTCACCCAATATAATATAATAATTCTCGACGGGGTTAGTACTCTGAACCATCAGTTTCTGATTCCAGAGTTTAAGTTCTTAATCGCTGACCATTGTTTAGGGTGGTTAGTGACGTTCCTGGTGCCCCAAGCAGCTGGTGATGGCAGGGGAATTTGATGGCGATGCTGGTGCTGCTGCTGACGGTGCTGGTGGCGGTGGACCTGGCGATCACCCTGTTCTACCACTGCTGTGTGTCCTCTGGGAGAGGTGTGCCGGCATTCATACAGTGCCCTGGTTGTCACACAGATGTCTCTGTGTTACAGGCCTTCACCTACCACCACATCCAAGAAATCATGGTCCAGCTGCTTCGCACGGTGAACCGGACAGTCATCACGATGGGGCGGGATCATGTTCTGATTGTGAGTAGATCTTCTCCTCTTGTCAAACATTCCAAACTGTTTGGGGTCAAGGAATGACTTTTCTGGAACATCAGTCACATGAAACGCCCAGCAACAATTGCTGCTTTGTTTCGGATTATAGAGGTCAGATTTTTGCTGTGTGGGCTGGGAGAACATGGGAGTTAACTCGAGTCGCTAAGATAAAAGCAGACCTAAGACGTGTCTGCCAAGGTGAACGCAGCAGGTGAGTGGGGCCTCTCAGTCTCAACGTCCTCGTCAACAAGTGCTGGAAAGTTCTGTTGCCAGAGCGAAGATTGTGTAGTTAAGGCATGGCCAGCTGTCCCTCCATTGCTCAGTCTCACGGTGGCCTTCCATCTCACGCAGAACAAAACCCAAACCACTGCTAGAGCTTGAAATGCCTTCTCCCCCTTGATGGTTCCTTTATGTGTTTCTCCTACACATAAAACATTATTCCACTTGCTGTTCCCTCTGCTTGGCCTATCTCTTTCTTGCTTATGCCCTGATGTTAATCAAATCTTGGCTTAGGTGCCACCTTTTGACAGACTTCCCTGCCCCGACTGCTCTGTCCACAGTGTCCAGCACTTGTCCATCTGCTTTCCATCTCTACACCTTACTCCTTCATGTTTCTTAGTTCGGTTCAGTTCAGCCGCTCAGTCATGTCCAACTCTTTGCGACCCCATGGACTGCAGCACGCCAGACTTCCCTGTCCATCACCAACTCCCAGAACTTGCTCAAACTCATGTTTGTCAAGTCGGTGATGCCATCCAACCGACTGGTAGGTAGGGACCTGAAGTCTGCCTGAGTAGGGCAGATTTAGCATGACAGAAAGTTCGGAAAAGGAAAGATTGGTAGATTTGGGGATTTGGAATTGTCACATGGAGAGAAGTTCTAACTGATGAAGTGATTACATTAAATATGAATGTATGATTTAACGACTCATCTGAGTTCCTACAAGTAACTCCCAACAATGCACCAATGAAGTTCACAGCAGCAGTTAGCTATTGCCAAGTCTTTTGGTCTTTGGTGAGCTTTAGGAATCCAGACATCCTCAAAAAGTTCAGCAATTATGCTTCCCTGGGCCCAGGAACACATTAAAATTGAATCTCCAGGCCAGGCCACTCCAGACAGCATGCCATGCTAAGCCACAGCTCCGAGTGTGTTCTTGTGTTTAGCCGTCAAACGCCAGAACTTGCATTTGTTGTCGTTTTTGTTGTTGAGTTGCTAACTGGTATCCGACTCTTTGCTTGGCAAGCAGATTCTTTACTGCTGAGCCACCAGGGAAACTCCAAGAAATTGCATTAATGCCCATTATATTGTGTCAAAATATAATGGGGTTATATTTTGTGGGTTGTTTTTTTTTTTTAACTTTTTGGCTGTTCTGTGCTGCATGTGGGATCTTAGTTCCCTGACCAGGGGCTGAACTTGTGCCCGCTTCAGTGGAAATGTTGAGTCAACTGCTGGAGTGCTGGCAGGTCCCTGGTGGTGTTTTCTTATTTTGATTTTCTTTCAACCTTAACTTGGAAAAAAATTTCCAGGTATAGAAAATTTGCAAGAATGGTATGCACATCTTTAAACCCTTCACCCAGATGAATCAGNTTCTCCTCATGACCTTGTCATGGGTGGGATCTCATGTGCCAGCTCCCGGCAATGTGGAATTAGCTATACAGCTGTCAGAACTCCCAACTTCTCGAGAGAAGCTGAAAATTCGCATACTTTATGTGAAATTTCCTTATGTTTAACTGTCGGCAGCTGCTTAAAAATATTTATAAACATTTTATGATCCCCAAACATCTGGATTCAGCTTTCAGAAAGCCAGTTTGGGATCTCTACTTTAAAATAGCATGGTGTGAGCCAGGTTTGGGGTTATTGACTATCGATAACCACAGCCTTGCTTCGTGGATACAGAGCATGTGGTGCTGAGGGTTTATTCTAAGAGTAGCTGGGCAGGTATTTGATCGCCACTTAGAAGCAGCTGAGTGTCACAGTCTTCTTTCTCCCCACTCAGTCCTGTCTGCTCATGCAGGTGCTCGGGTCCTTACTGCGCAGTATGTACAGTTAAAGGAGTGGTGACATCCATGGAGGGGCCCAGCAGGGCCCAGGCGCTCCTGCCTTCTGACGCAGTGAGCCATGTGAATCATTCTCTGCCGTCTGTCCATCCTTCCACCTTTAAAGCATCACCCTTAGTTTTTATTCCGTTACAAGTTTCCACATCTGTGGTTCCTGTAATGCACCTTAGATAAGCTTTTTATGACCTCCCTAATCTTTATTCCTTCTCTTTGGAGCCAGACCTAAAGACGATCAACAGTCCCTTTGGCTCATTCCATATATAGCAGGCTCTTAACTCTCAGTCTCTTTTTTAGAGCAGTAAGTCTTTAAAACAGTGCCTGGATCATAGAAAGCACCAAACAATTGGTGTCTGTTATTATTTTGCTTCCCATTTGGTGCAGTATGTCTCTCTGTCCCTGCACATTAGCAGCATAGTCAAGTGGGCCGCGTCTGGCCCCGTTCCATGCTGAGACTTTTATTTGGTGCTGTGTCCTGGTTGCTTGCCCTTCCAATGCACGCTGCTCCCTGCTGGTCTGTTAATGTTTGCCAGGACACTCCCCTGCTCTAGAATGTTCGGTGGCTCCCTACTGTCTACCAAATTAAGGTATAAATGCACTAGTCTGGCCATTCTCAGCTTCTGTGATCTGGCTATAACCAAAATTTTCAGCCTTTTCATTTACTTTTATCCATCCACAGTATTTGGCCAAAATGGGTATCAGTATATTGCCCCAACTGCATCCTGGTGCGCTGCAGTCCTTGGGGTCACAAAGAGTCAGACACAGCTGAGCAACCGGACTGAACTGAACTGATGTTACCCAAACGTGCCTAGCACTTGTTCACGTTCATGCTGCTTTCTTTGGAATTTCTTTGTGTGCCATCTTAATCTGTTGAAATTCTACCTAGTCTTCTAGGTCCAGCACAAACTGACTCCCCTGTAAAGCTGCCCGAACCTCATCAACCTGGTTGAGATCTCCCCATTCTTCTAAATCACACAGTTCTCTCATCTTTTTTTTTTTTTAACAACTTCATTAAGATATAATTTACATACCATTAAATTTAACCATTATAAGTATTCAGTTTGATGAGCTTTTATAATGCATACAGTTGTGCAACTATAACCATAATTTAGTTTAAAATACTTTTTTCACCCCCAAAAGTTCTGTTTGCAATAACTCTGCAGCCCACCCCTACCGCTTTATCCCTACCCTAGCTAGGTCAGCAACCACTAATCTATTTTCTATCTCTATAGATTTGCCTTTTCTGGAAATTTCATATAGCTGAAATCATACAGTCGGAGGCCCTTTGTATCTGGCTTCTTTTTGTGAATAGTTTTTTTGAGGTTTATCCATATTTTAGGGTATTTCAGTATGAATTCCTTTTAATTTCTGAAATGTATTACACTGTATGAATATATTGCATTTTGTTTATTCATTTTCAGTAGACAGATATTGAATTGTTTATGATTTTTGGCTATTGTGAATAATGTTGCTGTGAACATTTACGTGTAAATTTTGTGTGAACAAATGCCAGTTTCTCTTGGGTAGAAATATAGGAGTGGAATTGCTGGGACCTACGGGAAGTATATGTCTAACTTTATAAAAAAACTGCCAAGTTCTTTTCCCTAATGTTTTTGCCATTTACTTTCCCATCAGCAGTGTATGGGTGTTCTGTGTTTGTCTACATCCTCACCAACACTTGATATTGTCAATCCTTTGGGTTAAAACAATTCTAGTGGATTCCTAACAATTCTAGTGGCATCTCATTGTGGTTTTCATCTGAATTTATCTAGTGACTGTTTCCTTTGCTCTGCCTATTTTGTTTTGAAGTCATGTTCATCTGTGAAGTTGACATCTATAGTTCTTCTCTTATATCACAAGACTTGAGACTTGGACCTATCTGTCAAACGGGGGTAATAACAGACCTTTTTCCTGGAGTTGCTGTGACAATTAAATGTAGTAATACATGAGGAGCACTTGGACATGTGTTTCTTCTACATAGTATTCGTTTGTTTATTCATTCAGTATTTTCTGAGAGCCTCTTATATACTCAGCACAAAGGCTCAGAAATGAGTCTGGGCCTGCAGGAAAACCATGCCCTCCAATGGGATACCTCTCAAGTACCTCACACTCACTGTATCCCAAACCCAGCTCATCACGAACTCCCTGGAGTCTCCTGCACACTCCCAGCATTCGCCATCTCAGCTTATGGAACTGACCTCCTAGAACTGAGGCACTGCCCTTGACCCCTCCCTCTGCCCGCTGCCACTTCTAACCCCTCACTAAGTTCTGCTGTTTCCAGCACCTCTGGCCTCAGTCCCTCCCCACCCTACTCCCCACCTGCCTCTCAGCGCCCCTAGTGACGCACTCAGTCACCAGGCTTGCCACACTTAGTCATTTACGAGGAGGTTTTCTGATTTCTGTGTTCATGACCCATACATTCCATGGACTGCCTTGAGGACAGGGGCCACATTTAACTTATCCTTTTTATCCTTCTCACCTAGCAGGGTAGCTGGTTTACTATGGGTGCTCAATAAATGTTTGTTGAGCAAAGGAATGAAAGTGTGGTGCTATACCATAGCTTTATATTTTTGTATATGGTTTTCTCTCAATTTAGATTGCCTTTCCTTTTTCAGGGAACACTTTTTATGAATACCAGGAACCCACATTTGAGGAAGTGTGGGTAGAGTGTAAAGAATTGCCTGTTCAGCCTTTCCCTGCCCTGCCCAGGCCTGATGCTGGGCTTCCTTGGTGGCTCAGCTGGTAAAGAATCCGCCTGCACTCCAGGTTCGATCCCTGGGTTGGGAAGATCCCCTGGAGAAGGGAAAGGCTACCCATTCCAGTATTCTGGCCTGGAGAATCCCATGGACAAAGGGTCCATGTGAAGAGTCGGCCATGACTGAGAGACTCTCACTTCACTTCACTCCGGCCTGGTGCTCGGAGCCCTGCAGAAGTTCT